CTACGTATCGGCTCCCCCCCCCCCCCCCCCCCCAAGTATAAAGGTCGCAACAGCTATGAGTTGCTGCCATTTTGGCTGTAATCACAGCTGTGATCTAGAAAAACAGTTCACTGGTCACCCTATAGAAGCCTCAAGCCACTCTGCACTGCTCTGGTGTTATAGTGTCCCATAAATTCCTGTACCAGCCAGATACTGCTACCATTTAGAGTATACATGCATCATACGATGAAAGCTTTCTACTCATTTCAATTTTCAACTGTAAATGACCCCAATCTCCACTCCAACCCCTTTTAAGAAAGGTCTGTCTCATCTAGCAGCTCACCTGTCCCACAAATAAAGAAGAAACAGTTTCACAAAAGATTTAGGAAGATTACTATTACATTCAGAAAATTATTTTAGTTTTTAAAATTGAAGGCCAAAAGTTAAAATGAATCATTGGAATATAATTTTAGTTATGGTCAACATACCTGTAATCTTGCTTTAAAAGTTTGGATGGTTTTTCTTTTATCTTCTGAGAAATAAGACATTGTGTTATGAAATAGGTTCACAAGGGTATTTTATTTTTGGCTATACAAGGTTGTGGGGTTATATGATCTAACCTTTGATTGTATTAAGAATTTATGATGCTTGCAGCTTTTCTTCTAACAACCGAGTCATTTGTTGCCTTAAAGGGGTGTTTGGTACATGGGAAATTTTTTCATACTCAAGAATTATAAATCTTGGAAATCATAATTCTTAGGAATGATTAAAATTTGTTTGTTTGGCCATAAATGTTTTTGAGAAATGTTTATAAATGTTACTTGGGAATAAGTTTTTTTTTTATTGTATTAAATAAGCAAATAAAGGTACCGTGATGTTTTTATCGCATTAAAACTTTATTTTTAATTCAAGAATGTTAGTTCCTCACCTTCCATGAGAACAATTTCGTTGGAAACCTATGTAAAAACATTCTTGGAAAATGTTTCCTAGGAATGTTACTTTTTCAATAACCAAATATGGGAAACTAACATTCCCAACTTCAGATTCCTGGAAAGCAAAAACTTTCCGAGTATCAAACGCCTCTTAAGTGTTTTCTTTTAATTTTTTAATCTTTATTCATTTTTTTACTATGTGATATTTTTGCATTCTCAGTATAACATAAATTTAACATTCTGCAGCTTGACAGGCTCTAGTAAAGTTGTGGTTTGTAACATTCATGTGCTATACAATCCTAACAGGGGAGAAATTAAGCTTGGCCAGGTGTGCACTGCCTGTTTCGCATAACATTTTCCCATTTTGATAAGCCATTTATGCCTCTGATACTGTTCTGTTTTGGATATATCACTGTCTAATGTTATGAAAATGCTCTTCACTTTGATGGCTATTGACACTTCTTTCTGCATTTCAAATGTACTTTGATTTTGTTCCTGTTTTGGTTTTCTTTTCATTCATAAAATGCATAAAATGGTCTTAATTTTTTCTATTCATATTGTGTAGACTCGCAGAATTTGTAATTTGTAATTATTCACATGCTAAGGTCTATGATATATGGTTTAATTTCTGGTTAATTTTTTCTTTTTTTAATATCATCTGCAGTATTATGTTTTCATCACATAGTCTAGTCATTCATTTTGAAACGTTGTTTTGTAGTTTAGATCTAGTAAGACTATAAAAGGTTTGATATTCTTATGTTTAGGCATATTGTGTACAACCTACAGACCCATTGATGTTTTTTTCTCTTCAATATCGTCATATTGTCCCACAATAATTGCCAATTCAGTTCAGGAACTAATGACCCTTAAATGTATGCAATTTGTCTGAGTATGAATATGCATAACTAGTTGTATCTTTAATGGTGTTTGGTGGAGTGAAAGTTGGATGGAGGGGGAGGGAAGATGATGGAAGCGAGTGGAAGTTGACTTTGGTAGTGTGTTTAGTGCATGGTAGTTGAATCGGGATACAATTTGTGTTTGCAAATCATGAATTGAAGGATTCATAATCAATAAAAACATAGTGCATGCACACACACACACATATACAAGACCTATAAAAGTGCTCTAGCGAGTCTAGCCATATTTTAACATTAAAAAAATATGAAAAATGAAATCATACACAGGTATATAGTAGTAGCATATAAGCTTCAGTACAAACAAAGATACAAATAATAATAGCCACAAGGCCAAAAGAAGTGGCTGTCTGCACAGTTCAGCAAAGAGCCCCCCAAAATATCACTGTTGTTCCTTCAATTCGTTTTCATTTAACTATTTAAGTTTATATGACTTTTCAATTTTTGATTAGAATTGGTAAGTCTATTATGGTGAAAAAGGAAAAACAAATAATGAATCATTGAATTGTTTCCATAATACAAAATTGTATAGATTCTTTTATGTATTGTGAGATGCAAAATTATTTTAGATTCATCTTAAGATACATATTGGTAGGTTGTCAAGTTGTATTGAATCGTAAGATTTGAGTCATGAATTGCAAGGTTTTGGTAACTATGGTTTGGTGTAGAAGTCAGTGGAAGTGTAGGTAAGTTTTGGTAGGTCCCACATGAACTTTTATCCAAACTGAGGATTTGAGTGGAAGTTGTTTGACATCACGAATTTGCCCTCCTTCATCACTCAATTTCCCAAGTGTGTGGAGTGTGGACATGTACCCACTCACTGCAGGTGCTATTTAATCGACCATGTTGATTATATAATCAACTATATAACACATGTTCAATGAAAAGCATCTCGTTCCTGTTTACATAATCAATTATGAATAATCATAATCGATCATGTGAACTGAATATATATAAAATAAATTGAAAGTGTATGGAGTAAAGGGTAAATATGTAATTTAATTATAATATTAATTCAGTTTTTTTATTTTATTTAATCCAATATAAACCAATTAAAAAACTTATCTTCCTTCCAATTTTTTCCTACTTCCCTCCTACCAAACAACCTCAAATTGTATTGTATTTCTTACTTACTTCCCTTCTCATCTCTTCTCTTCCCTCTATTTCTTTCCTCTTTACCAAACACAATTAAGTTGTGAATGCTGAACAGTATATCCCATCTCATTTGACTCTGTTTCTTTTGGTATTTGAAGTTGTGAACCGGTAATATCACTGTATCAGATTCAGGTCTTTGCAGTTGACTCCATCCACTGCTTTGGTGTCTAAAATATGATTTCAAATTCTTTTAGTAATTGCCTTTTCCTTATATTTACTTCAAGCAGGTCCGAGTGCTACTTGATAGGGCTAAAGCTGTTTCTAAACTCTGGAATGACGCCCCTGTAGTTATCTGTGGGGATTTTAATTGTACCCCTAAGGTTATTTTTTCTATTATGCCTTTTTGTTATCATTTTGTAAAATGTTATCACAGTCTGTGTTATGACATTAGTGATTTTTATCTTGTTTCAGAGTCCGTTATACAACTTTATATCAGAACAGAAGGTAGACTCTTTAGTTCTTTTCTTCCTCTGACTTTGATGATTGACACAAAAAATGATATCTTTATATTATTACAGTTAAATCTGTCAGGAATAGATAGGAATAAGGTATCAGGACAAGCTTCTGCTATAATTCGTCCACCAAAGCAATATGGTCCTATTTCTAGGTAGACTTTTTGCATTTGATGCATTTATATGTTGATATTTATTGGATATTTGGATTTCTTGCTTTATTCAAGAAATATCTGTTAAAATATTTTAAAATTTTGCAGTGAAATATCTGGTAATGGTTCAGTCCAGGTCACATCCATTGAAGGTGATAAGGAAGTTATTAAACAAAATAATTCTCAGTCAGGCACGAGGGACCTTGACATATGTAACAGTTTGGATGATCAACATACTCAGACTGTTTTGGACATGTCTGTTAAGTCTTCTACAAATCTGGAGTGTGGAAAGGAAAGTGATGCATATGAAGGAAAAGATACACAGGAAACTGCCGTTGACCATTCTAAGATCTTTTGTGAAGTTGGTAGCATAAAAAAACCTGATCCTTCTTATAGTGAAGGTAGGCTCCATATGGATGATGTAAATGGTGAGAATCATGACATTACACCTGTGACCTCCTCAGCTCCTGAAGCAGTTGAAAGTGATACGAATAGGATGGGTAGCAATGAACATATACCAGATGCTGTCCCAACTTCAAATAAAGAATTATTAAGCCAAAAATCCAACCTACATGTCCCTGAAGGGAATAAAAATGTGGAGTTTAACTGTTCCCCAACCTCTCTCCAGGAAGACGATCAGTCTTCCAGGGTGAGGATTGATCTTGAGTCAATAGATCTAGACAATTTAGAAATTTCTTCAACTAAACCAGCCAGCCAGCCTTCAGTTTCCAATGCATTTGAAGTCCCTTGTACAGAGTATGGAGATAGCCCATCTCTTGAGAAAATTGCTAATGACCAAAATAACAGATCATCAACCTCATGTCTAGTTGACAAATCACATCAATTGTCCAATATCAAATTTCCACTAGATGAAAAAGAGAGATCATTCCTCGAGGAGATAGAAAAATCCATTACTAGCGGTGAAAATGTTGGTGAAGATCGCAGCAGTTTCATATCTGCCTTACATAATGCTGAAGGAGCCACTCTTGATCTTGGCCCATCAACACCAATGAAGTCAGATCTTGAAAATTTATATCAATATGAGAAATTAGATTCTGCTTCCGACAACTTGGTGCTGTCCATAGAAATCAATGAAGTGAAGGATGACTCTTCTCCAAGTCAGATTTCTACCTCTATTGATGCAGAGAGAGCTACTTATAATCCGTCACTGTGGACCCCTGTGGAAATAGAAACTGCAACTGGAAATGCTGAGTGCACCTTCTTGGAGCACCCGTAACCAAGGTTGTCAATCTCGAGAGTTTACGTAATCTCGTGAAGGCTCCGTAAACTCGTATCGTAAACTCGTCTCGTAAACTCGTAAGAGATTACTCAATAAACAAAATTATAAAAATAATTAAAAATTATATAATAATTAAACATTTTAACTTTATATTAAAGAGTAAAATAACAAATTATATTAATAATAAAATAATTTATTAAATATAGCAGGATTACACTATTCTAATTTATTTATATATATATATATATAAATATTAGATAATTTATAATACAAATAATTAATAATATACATATAAAAATAAAAATATAACTATTTATACATTAAATATTTTTAATAATAAAAATTTATAGTAGTTAAACAAAATAAAAAAATTAAGAAAACAAAATATTTAAGGTCTTATATTAAATTTTGTATTACTTAAAATATTATCTAAATTATAATAATAATAATTAATAATTAATAAAGAGAGGTTACTTTCTAAAAAAAATAATGAAGTAAAAACCCTCTTAACCAAATCAAAACAAAAAATAAAACTTGGCCCATTTGGCCCATATTCCAACCCTAATTATTTTTCCTGCAATGCAACCCTTCCTCAAGCCGTCGCCGCTGCCTTCCCTCTTAGAAGAAGACAGATCTGCAGATGCCGGGGAAGACAGAGCCACTGTCAGAGAGGATAGATCGGCGGAGATTCGTCGGAGAGGAGAGGAGACTCGCGGAGGTGTCGCGCGGAGAGGAAAGGAGACGCGCGGAGGTGTCGCGCGAAGGAGGTGAGGCGCGAAGGAGGAGAGCCGTGGAAGAGGCGCTGCGGAGGTCTGGAGTGGAGAGGAGAGTAGGAGAGGTCTGGTCTAGAGTGAAAGTGCCCTAACACACAACACAAAACGTGCGTTTTGTGTGTGGAAAAAAAAAACGGTGATCTCTTAATATCGGAGGTAGTCTCGCGAGTTTACACGAGTTTACCCGAGTTCACCGAGATCGCTCCGAGTTCACTAAAAAACGAGTTTACCTCCGAGTTGTACAGGTAAGCTCTTGTAAACTCGTAAACTCGTACGAGTTTACGAGTTGTCACTAGAGATTGACAACCATGCCCTTTACTGCTTAGGAGCACGTACACTGAAGCTATGGTAGATCTAAAAGGATTGCTTGCACCTTTTTCTTTTTTTGGATAAAATATGATTTTGATCCCTCTAGAGTTTCTCAAGTTCAGTTTTAGTCCCTTAAATTTTTCCTTGAATTATTTTGATCTTTCTAATTTGAAAATGTAATACTTTTTGTCTTCAAAGAGATTTAGATAGTGCTTAAAAATAGTTATAAAGTGCTATCTAAACCACTTTAAGGACCTAAAGTGATGTATTTCTAAATTAGAAGGACCAAAATAAGAAGACAATGAATTTTTAAGGGACTAAAAATGAATTTAAAAAATTTTAGAGGGACAAAACATATTTCCTCCCGTTTTTTTTTTATAGCTTCACTTTCATATGACAAGCTGTCACATCTTACACCTCATTTAAAAGCTACAGTTAAAGTTGTATTTCCCTAATACTTGTAAACGTGGTGCTCTTCCATATTATCTTATTGCACTAAGTACTCCTTGTATACAAGCAGGATTGTTCTGGGACTAGAGATCCCCATGGAGAGCCCCTGGTGACCAGTTATAATAGGCGCTTCTTGGGAACTGTTGACTACATTTGGTAGGTGCTATGCTCTTCAAGTTTATCTGCTACTGTTTCTCTTGCTGTGCTTGTTTTATTTTGAATTGTAAAATTGCAATAAGTATACCATCGTAAAGTGTCATTGCTGAAGTTCTTGTAGTTGCATGATATATTTTTCATTAACGTTGCTGATAGATGCATTTGAGTTTTGACTTTTAATAAGCATTGGAAAAAACTGGTTGTACTCTTCGAATGCCTAACTGTGAGCAAAATGAGTTGATGGTAATCTACTTTTTCCCTTGATCTGTCACTTAGGCGATCTGAAGGTCTTCAAACAACCAGAGTTCTTGCTCCGATGTCTAAACTTGGCATGGAATGGACTCCGGGATTCCCAACAAAGGTAAGAAAAATATAGTTCATGTGTGGAAGATTGCATATGGATGGGTTTACAAAGGTGTTTTTTGGGGTTTTCTTTCACTCGTTATCATTGTTACCTCATCTCAATTAAGAGGCTATTGTTGCAAGGTTATGACTTCAGAGGTTGATTCTTTAAGTAATAGAAAGTTCAATGTACAGGGGGCGGTCACTTGCCTCATCCTTGCTTGACTAGACCATTTGTTTTTATACAATTTAGGTTTCCTTGATAACCATAAGTGCTCAACTGAACATATGGATTCCTTTCGTGTATAATTTTAATTTCCCTTGATTTTGCAAATTTTTGCTTGAAATGTGTAACTTGTGATTTTTTTTTGAAGTTTTTCTTTGCCTATCTACTGTACAGAAATGGGGCAGTGATCATATTGCTTTGGTTACCGAGTTGGCTTTCTTGAGAGATGGTACCGACATCAGCAACAATGTCAAATAGCAGTTTATTCGACAACCTGTGGGCATTTGCCATTGTTAGATCATTGGATGTTGTGCCTAGGCTTGGCCAGGTTTGGACACCCTCAAGTGACCAAGTGTCAAATGAAAAATGTGGGTGTATCGACCTTGCGTGGGACTTTAACTCAAATCAACAGTGGATCTTTGGCGCTCTTTTTTACTTGGGAGGATCCAAATTCTGCCCTAATTTACCCCCTTCATGTTTTATGTTGTACGGGAGTTTAAAGGTTCTTCTGCGAAAGCTGAGAGCCTGAGACGTGTTTCTTTGGAATCAAGTATTTATGTTGATCCTGAAGTCAATCCTGTAAATTTAATAAAAACATTTTAGCTCATGATATACCAATCTAAGGTTTTTTTTAGCTGTTAGTTAACTAGGTTAAGATGTGATATTTGTAACCACTTTTTGTTTTTTATTTTTATAAAAAAAAATTAGTTAATAGCGTTCTATGATAATAAGAAATTCAGTGTGGGAGTGGGGGAGAGATATGTAGCTCTCAATCTCAGTTGTCCGTTTTATTGTTCTTTAACCTTTGGGATTTGAAAGTGTTTAATGATTCTTCCTCATCGACGGTGTCTTTCCATCAACTACGGTAACGTTGAGAATTTTTTTTATTGAAGCTTTGAATTATGATTCCTCTAACTTTTAGACTACGAATATATATTTGCATAATCACATGTAGGGCTAAACAATCAATTCGATCGTAATGTAAATTACAAAAGATCTTAGACATACTAATATTTTTTTTTTTCAAAAAATAAAAACTCTAGCTCAAATAGATGATTTTTCATGATTAGATTACATGAATTTCGGATCCAAATTTAAACTTTATTTAATTTAATCCAAACTAAGCTTGTGTAATGTTCGCATGAAATTTACCTACCTACCAGTACGTGTGTATATATTTATTGTTATAATAACCCGTACATATAGTTGTATATTTCTGAAACTGTAATAACTATTATTTTTTTTAAAATTATATCTTAGCATTTTAAGATACATGCCTAATTATTTTAATGTATTTATAAGTTTATATTTTTCAATAATTTAAATTTATACATATTCTTGTGGCTTTGTATCTTATAATTTGTTATATATATATAAAATAAGTTATAATTAAAACTGGGTAGAAGATGTTAAAATGATATTTGTTTACTGTCCGCAAATTAGATTGAAAATAAAGAAAAATTTAATCAACTAATCTAATTCAAGCCGAATTTAATCAAATCAATTAAATATGACATTATAATCAAATTGACAGAGATTGAATTATAATATATTTTTATGATTAGATTTATGAGATTATATAAAAATTAATTCAAACCAAGCAATAAGTTCCTTAAATTGTCAGGGCTCTTAATCTAAATTGTACATGCTACTAAGCAAAATCAAATGCTTAGTTTAAATTCTATCTTTTGATTGCCTATTTGCTCATGCCACAATGGAAACACGAGCTTTAGAGTAACTAAAAACAACTACACTGCACTTTAAGTTTGAAACTTTGACGAACTCATGTCCCCCTTCATGAGAAAATATTTTTTTATCGTTAAATATGTTATTTTTGTAATTGATGGCTTAGATATTTTCTTTTTCTTGTTTCTTTTTCTCCATCAAGAAGCCACAACATCGTCTTCTAACCACAAAATCCATCTAGCATGTAGTAGCATAACACACAAATCAACACACAAGTTCACACATTTCAAATGAAGAAATCATAATTTTTCAGATTTCTCTTGAAGGATGGTTCAAGTTCAACCAAACTAAACAAGGAGCACATCATCCACAAATCAAAGACATAATCAAATTTACACTAAAGTTCATCTTTGATTCAAATAACTTATGCACCCTCCTCATTCCTTTGAAGACTTGTTGATAAGAGACTTGTGGATGTGAGGAATAACACCTCCACCAGCTATTGTTCCTTTAATGAGAGTATCAAGTTCTTCGTCTCCACGGATAGCCAGCTGTAGATGTCTTGGGGTAATGCGCTTCACCTTCAGATCCTTGCTCGCGTTTCCGGCCAACTCCAACACCTCTGCTGTTAAGTACTCCAGGATTGCAGCTGAGTAAACTGCCGCTGTTGCCCCAACTCTTCCATGAGCCGTCACCCTTGACTTTAGAAGACGATGAATACGTCCAACAGGGAACTGTTTCAAAAGATGTTCAAGATGAAAGACAGACACAGTGGATTAAGATTATGCTTACAAACAAGGGAGTGTTAAACACAAATAGAAGTTCATCATGAAGAATCAAAGACATGTTAATTAACCACTTGCAACATTAGTTAGTTATAGACCAGTCACATTATCCAAAGATATTGGTCAATCACAAGTCCCAAAACAAGATCATTGTTATAGATGAACTTGCCATAGCCATGGCACTTATGGATGAAGTAAATTAAACACAATACTAACTAACTAGATGCTGCTGCCACTTCACAAGAACTCATTGTATTAGCAAGTAGCAATCCAAAAGCTAGAAAGTTATCCAATAGTAGCGATGTAAAAAGAGATGTGTAAACAACCATATTAAACAAGTAATGCAGAGAAAATATGCTATCTTTACATGCATTCTTCATACATAAATGGTAAGGCATGTTAAACAAATAAAAGAAATTTGACAATGCAAAGAGAAGAAAATTAGGATATTGGAAAATAAGGGATTCTATGCAATGAAAAAAGGGAAACCCTCAAGGAGGACAACATGTTATACACACAATAGAAGCTAATCACCAAATCTTTGCTCAAATCAGCTGCTCAGCAAAAGAAACCTTAAAAATATGAGGATTACACTCCAACCAAATGCACTGAATAGTAGCACACAGATTTCTCATTGACAAAAAATTTTACCCCGAGCTTCTACCAAAATCATTAAATCCAGTAACCAAAAATTGATCAAAGCCCAAGGAGGATAAGGGTACACCCAACTGCCCAACATTTATAAAAAAATGGTCCAAGAAACCTCCTCAAACTCCAGCCAAATGCACCAAACAAGGATAGGATGTGGATTGAACATTGACACAAAAATGAAAAACATAACCTCCAACCTCTACCAGAATCATTAATACTACTAGCAAACAACCATCAGCCCAAGGACCCAGACAGAGAACACCAAACAATAACCAAAAATGCCAAACAAAGTATTCCACGAAGATACAGTATAAGAACATGTAAGAACAGACTAGGGACCAATGCTGAACAAGTGCCAGTTTTTTGTTACAAACCCTATTTCACCATTACACAAAAAAATTAGCATCCAAGTTCACTAGGGAATCTGAACAAACCCATCATTCTAAAGAACGAATGTTGGATAAGTATAAATCAGAACATGGCCTAATCTCAATTAAAATTCCAAAAACATCACAGAAACTGAACGAAATGGACAATCAGTTTAGAAGCAAACAGCCACAAAACAAAGTAACTATGAACTAAAATAGGAAAACTGAAAAATGGAGATTGAATTGAACCCTTCCCAAACAACAAACCATATACACCCCCCCACCCCCCAAAATGCAACACAACAATTTCCAGATGAAGAGAATCACCCAATTCCCAAATTGGCTGGGTAGACAAAAAATGGGTCGGTAAAAAACTGAAAATTTGATAATGAAATCCACTTCGTAGACTTCCTTGGCACATCCCCCCACCCCCGAAAAGAAAAACTAAGGTATAAAATATAAAAGGTACCCCATTTCCAGTCATGGTTAAATTTTTTTAACAGAAGTCAAAGACCATAAACTAATAAAACAACTAAAGCATCCTAATTGTCCTTTACACAAAAAAAAAAAGGGGGAAATAAAAACCTATTATTCAGTCAGGTCTAACCAAATCTTACGAAACTAACTTTTAAAGGTAAGTTCTATTAATTTTGTTTTATCACACTAATACATCCCTCACAAGACATCTCACACATTTGCATGCTAGACATTTAAGGGTGATCGAATTACGACCCAATGTAAGCTAATCAATAATCACTAATACCATGTTAAGGATGTCTGATTTTAAGTCATGTTTGGTTGTCTAGACAGAAATGGGTCAGTGAAAAACTGAACATTTGATTATGAAAACCACTTCACAGACTTCCCAGGCACATTAAAAAAAAAAAAAAAAAAAAAAAGGGGGAAAAAAAAAAAAAAAAAAAAAAAAAAAAAAAGAGGTGTAAAAATAAAAACGTACCCCATTTCCAACAATGGGTTAATTTCTTATGAAAGACCTCAAAAACCATAAACTAATAAAACCACTACAGAATCCTAGTTGTCCTTTCCCTACCCAAATATAAAAATAAACAAATAAAAGGGGAAAAGAAAAACCTATTCCTCAGACAAAGAGAGATAAGATAAATGTGGATCCAAAACAAAAAATTGAAAAAGGTAAAAACTTGAGACCCTTAGAAAGCTGGGAAACACAAAAAGGATCAAACTTTGAAGCAGGGAGAGAGAGAGGAACCTGAAGACCGGCTCTGGAGGAGCGAGATGTGGGCTTCTTCTTGTCCTTGTCCTTAGAGGAAGATGGGTTTTTTGCAGTTATCAAACCCTTTGCGCCTTTCCCTGACATCTCTCTCTCTCTCTCTTCAATCTTTCGCTTTCTCAGACACAACAACACTACTCTTCACGCTTGTTCCCTTTTCTTCTTAATTGTTACCATTACCACCATTTTAATAAAATATTAGTATCATTAAGTGTCTATTTATTCTGGATATTATTGTTAAGCACCGATATTTATCACATAATAAAGTAATGCAGCTTTTTATTGAAATGATATAAATGTCTAACATATAACTTTTAATATACTCATTTCCTCCTACAATTTCCGCAATTGATTCGAAAATCACTCCAAAATGAATGTTTTTTTAATATAAAAATCATTAGTGTTTTTTTTTATTATAAATTATTCAACTATCATATTTCAAAGTACTAATACATTTTTTAATAAAATTATGCTATAAAAGTGATATTTTTTATTTTGTAATTATGTATGGTATTTACACAAAATATACATCTAATTTTCACTAGAAAGCATAAGCGCACATAAAAAAAAATAAGAGTATTCTTCACTTTATATAATTTATTTAATATTTAAAGTCAAAATTTAAATTCTAAATAATTTGATTAAAAAAATAAAAGTTATTATTAGTCGTCTCAATTAATGTTAGTAAATAATATGTTTATTATCGTCCTTTAATATGTATCTAGAAACCTATCCGACTATTGTCTTCCCTCCCGATCAAATTAATAATTAATATAAATATTTAATATATACATATATATAAAATTAAGATTTATAATAATTAAATACTTTTAAAAATAAGAATTTATTATAATTAAAATATATAATAAACAAATATTTTTAAATATATAAATTATATTTTAAATTTATAATAAATCATTTATATTGTGACATAAATTTATTTTTAACTATCGACAATTTTTACTAAAAATATTTAAATTTAATTTAGACATTAATATATTATTTTAGTAAAAAAAAGTTTATATCAAGATAAAATATGACCCTATACAAAATTAGGACCCACCACAAGTTTAAAAATTAATACGAAAAAAGATAAATTAAGATAATAATTTTTTTTAAAATAACCTCTATTAAATAATAGCTCCTAAAATATTTTGATTTAAGATTGTTACTTTAATTTATATATATATATATATATATATATATATTTATATTTATTGTGAGTTGTGAAAGTGTTATATTATTTTAAGTCATTTTTGTGTTGGTAAGCTGAGTTGTCATTCCTTGTTGAAAGATTTTAAGACTGATGACACCTTAGGAGTTTCAATTGTGTTGGGGTTTCTCTAATCATAGTATATATATTTATTGTGAGTTGTGAAAGTGTTATATTATTTTAAGTCATTTTTGTGTTGGTAAGCTGAGTTGTCATTCATTGTTGAAAGATTTTAAGACTGATGACACCTTAGGAGTTTCAATTGTGTTAGGGTTTCTCTAATCATAGATTATTAGTTTGATCTTAGAAAGAAAAATATATAAGATTTCTATTTATAATAAAACTTCATAAACTCAACTTTCCAGAATCTTAGAGAGAAAAAACTCTAGAGAGAAAGTTTTTGATTCATGGATTCCTTTCCCATAAATCTACTCTTCTTCTAGATTTCTTCTCTTCCCTAGTTAATAATAACAAATTCCCTAGTTAACATTTTACACCTAACATTCACTTACATTTGTGATTAATCATATACATGAATAAAATTAATTTTATCAATTATAAAATAACTATGGATAAATAAACATAATTATATATACTTATAAGTGTATAATTATAATATTATGAGGTTATTCAAATATCTAGTAATGATTAACATTATTACACAAGTGATTAGCTATATTGATTGTTGTACATAATTAATTTCGTGGCTAATTATATAGTTAATTGTTAAGTCTCAATTATACTTCTTTTTGGACAAGACTTAATGAACAATTTCACTCATTCTTTGAACTATTGCAATACAATTGTTCTCTTTTTGATTCATTTTGTGTGCAGATATAGCTAACCCAGAATTTAGCTAACAATACCTTAATACACTTCATTTTTGTGTGCAGGTATTGAGCTAGAGACTTGAGGATTGAAGACCCTTAGGATTGGAAATCTAAGGAGTAGGGAGCAGAGCAGAGTGGTTGCGCCGGGCAAAACATTACTCGCGCCGGGCTTGAGAAGAACAGAGTGCCTCGTCTTTGCAAACGATTTATGCGCCGGGCGCAAAAGGAATTGCGCCGGGCATGTTCTGAGACAGAGAATACTTGACCTCACTGGAAGGCCCTGTGCCGGGCGCAACGATTTATGCACCGGGCGCGTAAACCCTAATCTGACTCCCCAAGCTCGTATTTAAAGGCATTTTCGGGGACTTTTCTCCCCATTCACGCAGGGGCGCCTCCACGAGCTGCGGAAAGGATTCCCAGGGCTTGGGATCGTTCGTGTGTGAATCTTTCCTTCGGTTATTAATTTCTCCATTCATCTCTCTTTTCTATTTACCATCCTTGTTGCGTGGTTATACCCATTTTTTGTGGGGTTAGATGTAATCAACGAATTCTAATGTAATCCTTACGTTTTCAATGATATATATACATGTTGTTCCATTTTTTGTTGTGTACGTTTCTTTGCTTAATGCTTGCTTTGGATTGATTACCCTTTGCATGATTTAAGGTTCCATTGAGTATTGGAAAATACTATTGAAACTAGTTCTGAAACATATGCCTAGTGGGGATTGTATCTAGGAATAGGGCTTGACCCATTAGTAGTCTTAAACCCTAATCTGTAATGCGGGTGTAGGTATTGGGTACTCAAGGGATTGATATTCAATATTCGCACCTAGGCTCTTTCTCTAAGGGATTAGGTTTAAGTAAACTTATGGGTTGACTAAGCAATGTATGTAACAAGAGATTAAGGATTCATTAGTCTGATGTTTGGTGAAATCTAACCCCCACAACCTCACAAAATCATAATATTATTTCTACCCTTATCCACTCACAAACAAATATTTTTATAGCTTTCATTCCAATAGTCATAACCTTGAATGCACATGATAAACTATGAAATTGGAATTATTCTTTAGTCACGAATAGTCAATAAATGCTTATTTTACCTTCCAATCCCTGTGGATACGATAATTTTACTACTTGAACGGTTGGTATACTTGCCGTGTTTGAGACCGTTGACAAAATAAAAGTAATTTAAAGTGATAAAAAAAGTGATTTTAACGGAAATCTCAACATTAATGTAATGATTCAACATGCAAAGTATAATAATACACTAATATAATAATACGAAAACCTAGTGGACCCAAGGTTTTCATGCAAAGTAAAATCTAGACATCATGCATTATCATATGGATATACTCGAGATCTCAATGATCATTTAGAAACCATAAACATCTCGAAATATACAAATATAAATACATAACATCTACATAACCAAAGTCCTAAGTTGGTCTAAAAAACTATACACAGGCCCTCTAATAGCTCCAAGTCACCATCCTCAAGCTAAACTTGCTCTATTCCCATGTTAGAGACATGTCTTGCAATCAACATATAAATAGTAGGGTAAACTTGATATAAAAGAAACATCATATATAACATAAAAGTGCATAACAACATGAATATGAAAATTCACACAATACCAAGACTCAATGCTCACAACATCAAAATCTCAATATCAGAGATCACATGCACAACATCATATGAAAAAAATACATCATAACTACGTGCCAACTTGAACCATGCATCATCAAACACATAAAATAATGAAGATCTCCTACAATAAGTGCTTTACTTGGCTTAATCCTATCAGATTGTAACAACCTTAGTTACTCAAGTATCATCAACATAAACTCAAAAGGTACAATATCACTATCTGGTATAGTAAACATGGGTGGGTGTTTACGACAACATTGATTTACAAAATCAAGCCTTGATAGATTTAGCCCATTGCATACTCTCAAGATATCACACACCTTTTCAAAATTAGGTTAGGGGTACACCTTGGGTGACTACTCACAATTTACATGCCATCTAAACATCTTAGTTTCTTGAACCCAAACACGACCCTTTATGACAAGTATGAAGTGTTTCATTCCATGCTTTTTCACAACACATTTGAAGGATAATATTTATTTTAAAGAACATGTTTACAACTTTGACTACAATGCTCTAGGCTTTTGGAGATTCAATCATTTGATATATCTCATTGAATAACTCAACAAAACAACACTCCACTAGGAAGTCACAACATTCTTCTTTAAACCATCTCAAAATTTTTTTTCCAAAACATCATGGATAACGAATTCAATCTTCCCAATATCCACCCTCAGCACCATGCACAAGTACAAACAATACCATGATTTAGGGGCTCAACCTTCCCTACATTCTCCCTCATCATTATGCAACATTGCATCAAATAACACATCATAATACAACCACAACTAGGCCACATGACACATAACACATCATACAACATCAAATATATCTAACACAAGTAAAACAACTCATGTCCTTTACATATAGGATCCAAGGCATAAGCCTCGTGTTCCTAATCGTCTAGGCTATCTAGAACTAATCACTCATCCTTCTATGATGGGCACAACTCCTTCCCACAAAAAGGAACCATCACTTGCCCCTCCTAAACCCCAAAGATTAGAAGAAACATATCAACTCAACTAGGGATGGCAAAAATACCTGTACTCGTAGGTATCCATAGATAAAATTCGCTACGGATAATAAATGAATAGTCTAAATGGATACCCACGTATAATAGGTACGGGTATTTTTCTACTTGTTTATAAATGGGGTGGGGGTAGGTATGATAGTATCCATACCGCGGGTACCCATTTAATAAAGTTTCTTAAATATCCTTATATATAGAATCACGTAACACTAAAATTACACTATTTTATTTTCTTTCCATAGTCGCAACAACGCACATTTTCACACACAACACAAAGGGGATAAATAAACCATCTTAATATGAATCCTGACTCTTTGACCTACTTTGCATCGACGACAACAAGTATTTTTTTTTTATTTTTAATATCAACAGAATTAACGTTAAATGCAAGTTTAAAAGTTAACATCAATATTTTATTTTTAACATTTCAATGCCATCAAATACAAACTTAAAATTATTTGTATATGATTTTTTTAATTTTTAATTTCTTAAAAAAATCATAATTATCCATAGATATCCATGGGTACCGCCGATATTTAAAAAGTTCATGGATACCCGTTTAATAGATATCCTCATGACTATGGAGCGGGTATGGGGCAGATTTTTATCTTGCGGGACGGGGACGGGTATACTACTACTCACTCCCACGGACTCCATTGCCATCCCTAAACTCAACACTAGATCACCATCCGGGAAAACAAAGATTTCATTGAGTGAACCCCTCATACTAAGCGAGAACAATCACATTTAGGGAAATTCACTTAATGAGCATCTCTCGTAGAGCAACCTTCATTGTCCCATCAACTTGCTTAGCCGAACTTCATTGTGTTCATCGAGTTTGTTGAGTGAGACCACTCTTATTGAGCAAGAACTTGATTTCCAACACCTAAGCCTTTAACATATGAAGGCTTGTTAAATAAGGGTCATCTTGAGTGAAAAGCCACTACATCTTTAACATACAAAACAATTAAATTATCATTCTTTGTATTAATATTTAAGGTATTAATATTAATACTTAATAGTTCATTATCATTTTGATATATACATTTATAGTAAAATATTATAAAAACATGATAATAAGCAAAAGAATTGTCATAATTATAAAAATATTTCTTAAAATGTAGTAATTAATTTCCGTTTTATTTATAATTAAATGATTAATTAAGATTTAATAATTTATTTAATCAAAATATATCTTTGTTAAAGTCACTTTAATTACTATTATTAAAATGAATAATATGTTTTTTTTATAAATTTAAAAATAATCAATAAAATCTTCTTTCATAGTATATAAATGAAACCTTAGGGCGAAAAAACTGATGTCACCGAACATTTGTTATTAAGTGACAAAACTTTCTTTTATAGTATATAAATGTGTTTTTATAAACTAAAAAACTAAAATAAATAAAAAATGATGAATTTAGGCGAGAAAAAAAATCATACGATGTTTATAGCGTCTAACTAAGTGACAAAATATAACACATAATAGATTATAATATGATATATAATATATAATATATAATTAGTACTATTATTTAGTTTGAATCATAATATATATTTGTATTATTAGTTTGAATGTTGAAATAATAAAAATCATAATTTCTTTAATTTTCTTAATCACTAATTTATGTATTATAAAATATATTAATATTATCAATTTTTATTTGAATAAAAATACATATTTATATTATAGTTTAAATATTAAAATCATAAATATCATATTTTCTTTAATTTCTATAGTTATGTTTAGAATATATAACAGTAGTATCAATTAATTTGAACAGGAATTTATATTTATATTATTAGTTCAATTGATCAAATCATAAAAATCACAATTTATTCATTACCAAAATCATATATTTTACGAATTAAAAATATATTAAAATAATTCAATAGCATTTATAGAAAAAGAAAAAGAAAATCAATATGGTGTCACGTGACATCTACTTACATAGCATTATATATATATATATATATATATATATATATAATAATAATAATAATAATATAACAGATAATAGATAAATAATAGATCATAGATAATAGATAGGATGTACTTCTGATTTTTCTTTAAAAATGTAGATTTGTTTTTTTCTCTCTTAAAGTTACAATCTAATAGCTCAGATTGGGATTATTAATATGAGATTATTTCATTTTTTTAAAAAAGAAGCTGAAGTGTAATGATGGAGATATAGCTATTAGCTATATATGTTAGTAGGAGCATATGCCATCATACAAATTTCCGAAATAGTTGGAACTTGGCAAATGGATCTGTCTTGTTATGACCCCACAAAAGTCGCCTATTTTCCATTTCAACACTTTCTAAAATTTGCATGCATGCATGCACCCTCAACTCCCTTCTTGACCCTTGCCTTTTTTGCCTCCCTTGTTTGTGTGTTGTTTCTTTCTTACTATCTCTCCTTCTCTCTCTTATCTTCTGAGTGTAAGAGAGAGAAAATCATCCTGAAAGAACCTCCATAACCTGCTTTCTCTGGTGACCCTCTTCTTCCTTGTTCCTAAGGCCTGAGAGGGTCCACCAAGGCTTCAAGTGCGTCTTCTTTTCTTTCTTTTTGTTTCCCCTAACATTCTTTTTACTATTTACTTATGCAAATTAAAGGTTGTGTATATATGCCTACATAATGCATGTTTTTGCTTTTTTTTTTTTTTTTGGTTGTGTCACGGATATTTTCCAACCTATTGGCCAGAAGTTAATTTTGCTTGCGGGACTGTGACTCTGTAGTTCCATTAGTCTAACGAGTTTTCACACTCAGCAAAAATCAAACAGAAATTTTTACTAAATAGATTGTTCTCACAATGTGTTAAAGTAGATGATTAACCATTATGCCAACCCATCTGTGTACATTCTGCATGGTGTGTATATGAAACTCGTGGTTGCATGAAAGGTTTTAAATTGCGATAGCAAGTTGCAGTTTCTTTTGTGATCTATAATAGTGGACAAATGCAATCGACACAGGTGCAATTGTGATTTTTAATGTGACAGATGAAATCCATGCATGCAGATGTGGTTGCGAAAAAAAGTCCAAAAATTTGATGCCGAGACCAAAATAATGGTCGCAGATTGCTTTTTGGAAAACTTAGTTGCATGGTTTTCTTATTTATTTATTTTTTGCTTTGTCATCTCCTTATGCGTCATGGACATGCATTTTGGTGCATGAAGGTTGTTAATGGTGTTTTTCCATGCAAAGAGCACCCATTTTACGTGCCTTTCTTTGAGGTTTTAAAAGGGTCCAAAATCTTACAAATGACTGCAACATCAAGCATTACGAGACAACCATGACTATAATTTAAATTAAAATATTTGGAAAGAATTTTATTAAAAAAAAAACTGAGATCTGATTTCAAGGATTTGCATGATTTATGTGGCTGATCGGGCCACAATTACGATTACAGATACCTCCAAAATCATATTATTGCCGCTGCAGTTGAAGTTGGTTTTTATTTATCTATGTCCTACTTGTTCAAGCTGCATGGGCTCTTAGGCAATTGGACAACATGCATATTATGTTTGTTTCATATATATATATATATGATCAACTCACAATAATATGGAAGTCCTTTATTTCATTATGCTTAAAAATGGACAAATGAATTCCCAAAATGCCTTTTATTATTAGATGCTTGTATATTTCTATTCTTGTGTTGTATTAATAGATTGAAATGCTTTATTAATTTCATGTATTTTGTGTCTTATTTTCTCCCTTTTTTTAAGAGGAATTCTAATAGCACTCTTCATAACATAAATTTCATAAAATAATAAAGAAAGTTTTGAAAAAGTGTGCTAGTGTATGTCGCCAACAGTTTTTTTTTTTTTTAAATATATGTTGATGCACTTGAATTACACGAGTGCATTCATCTCAAGATACAACACTATATTCTCAAATGTAATTAGTTTTTTTTTTTTTTTTTTAAATTTGTGAGATGATGACATATCTAATTTTTTGCACAAGCCATGGGGCCATTTGGAGGAATATCCGAAGATGTCAAAGGAAGAATTAAATGTTATACACAAGATTGGTCTTCTGCAATCACTTGTGGCATCAGGTAATTCTTTATTTATTTATTTATCTTGGCCTTTTGGGCAAGCAACACATTACATATTGACGATACTTAATTTCTCTGTGTTGTGTTATATGTGCTTCATTTTGATCTGTGATTCTTTGAGTAATTTTAGGATATTGGCCCCAACTTTCTACATATTCTTCGCTTCTGCTCTTCCTGTTATTGCTTTTGGAGAGCAACTTAACAGGGACACAGGTAAAACATTTCCAACAGCTTCAATATATATTTTCTTTCAACAATATAGTTACATTTTGTAGCCAATGTGATGCGTCTTGTTCCATGATTGAGCATACATATTATGTTTTTTTAGATGGAAGCTTGAGCACAGTGGAAACATTGGCATCAACTGCTATTTGTGGAATTATCCACTCAATATTTGGTGGCCAGCCTTTGTTGATTTTGGGAGTTGCTGAACCAACTGTTATAATGTACACTATTTTATATGAGTTCTGCAAAAGTAGGCCAGAACTAGGTGCCAAGCTTTTTCTGCCTTGGGCTGCTTGGTATGTAACTATGCATCACATTGGGTTTTCCCATATGCATTTCATTGTTCACATATATTTTCTCCTTCCTAAAATAACTTCAGTTTTGAATAAAGTCTCAAAATAACTTATGTTCTCGACTTCTCGGTTTTCAATACAATGCTAATTTTTTTCGCCGAATTTGCTCACACATAAATTACTTCAATGTTAATGAATCTGGAGAGGGTGAGATTATTGTAGTAAAATTGTATTAAAAAATATAGATTTATTGTTGTTCTCAACATATGGATAAAAACTTTAACCTGCATTCATTTTGGAATGGAAAGTAATTCTTGATTTGTACAGCATGCGACTATTTAGATACACACTTATAGGCATTTTTGAGAGTTTCTTTACTCAAAAATTCTTTTTAATTTTGAGTAGAGAAGTTTTTAAAAGTGCTTTTAACTTGTATCAAAACAGAATCTGTATCTATAACTAACTTTTATGTTCAATTATGTTACAGGGTTTGTGTCTGGACAGCATTCATGCTTATTTTGCTTGCAATTTTCAACGCCTGCAATGTTATCTCGAGGTTCACAAGAATTGCAGAGGAGTTATTTGGCATGTTAATTACTGTCCTTTTCTTTCAAGAGGCTATAAAGGTATATTGCTATGCTAGCACTTAGTAGCGGAATAGATAGTGAATTTTGCACTTCAAGATTCAACCTGGAAATTATTTGATCCACAGGGACTTATAGGCGAGTTTGGAACACCTAAGACTGAAAATCCTTCGTCAGAGGAATATCAATTCCATTGGCGATATACAAATGGACTACTTGCAATCATTTTCTCTTTTGGAATAATTTTCACTTCCATAATGAGTAGAAGAGCAAGAACATGGAAATATGGAGCAGGTACATGACTGATGACTAGAAATATCTATATGTACTAGTAAGATCACACACGTAATGTTTTAAACTTTTCATGTGAAACTTAATACCTTCATTGTTATTTTTATCTTGTGGCAATCAATGCAGGGTGGCTACGAGGTTTGATTGCTGATTATGGAGTTCCAATGATGTTAGTGATTTGGACTGCACTATCTTATACCCTACCAGGCAAAGTTCCATCAGCTGTTCCTAGAAGGTTGATTTGTCCTCTTCCATGGGAATCTGCCTCTCTCTACCACTGGACAGTAGTAAAGGTAATATTATGACACATTATATATATTTTTTCATCTTCTAATGAAAAAAAAAACAATTTAATTAAACCTTTTAGTCCAATAGTTATAAGACTTGCTTTAACATAGAAGGTTGGTCAGATGCTCCAAGGATCGATTTCTAGTGTTAAAATAATGTTTTCCTAGTGGAAGTCACGTCTTATGAGCATAAATTAATCATTGATAGTTAACTTTAGGATATAGTATATAACATGTCTATAAAAAAAATGAAATAAAAATGAGTCCATTTGGTGGTTAAAATCGATTTCAGTCCCTACATTTTAAAAATGGTCCTTGGTCCAATACTTCATTTTGGCTCGACCAAGGATAAAATCCATTGCATTTCAAAAAGTACAAGGAACAAAATCATTCTTTTTAAAATGTATGTAGGGATTAAAATCAAATCTTGAGGGACCTAAAACATATTTCAGATGTCACCCTTCTTTTTTATATTCTTATGAAACAGAAAGTGTCCCTTTGATGGTCTAGGATGCATAACACAAAATACTGTATTCTTACTTTTCTTGATCTCATTATGCTATCTTGCACCATTTTCTTGGATAAGATGCGTGTTCAACATTGTAAACTATAATTGCTAATTTCATGTCAGGCAAGTCTAATAAAACATCTAACATGGTTGAATGCATATTGCAGGATATGATGAAGGTGCCCATGGCTTATATCTTGGCAGCATTTATTCCAGCAGTGATGATAGCAGGTTTATACTTTTTTGATCACAGTGTGGCTTCTAAGATGGCTCAACAGAAGGAATATAACCTTCAAAAACCATCTGCTTACCACTATGACATTTTGCTGCTGGGTATAATGGTATATTATTTTCTCTAAAACCTTACTTTTTTTTATTAACCTAAAGCTTTATATGTAAATTCCATAGTATCCTGACATATCTATTCTTTTAATCTTTAGACTCTGATCTGTGGTCTTCTTGGCCTTCCTCCATCAAATGGTGTCCTTCCTCAGTCCCCTATGCATACAAAGAGTTTGGCAGTTCTTAGGAGGCAGGTAAGTATCATGTTAATTCTACATCAAGACCCTTTAGTCTAAAATATTACCTTACATATATTCTAATATTGTTGTACCAACTGTAGTTGATGCGAAAGAAGGTGGTAAAAAAAGCCAAGGAATGCATTAAGGAACAAGGAAGCAGCACTGAATTATATGGAAAGATGGAAGCTGTGTTCGTAGAAATGGATACTGCACCTACAGTAAGTATTGCTGACTTGATAAATACTACTTCCAGTTTTAATTATAAGCAACACAGGATAAGTCATCAAGATTAAGAAAAATAATTCAATTAGTTATTTTTAATTTATTCTACCATAAATTCAAATTTTATTATAAAGATACCCTATAAAAATAGGGTTAAGGATATAAAGAAATTTATCTATGAATAACTTGAAAAATTATTGATTGTTATTTATAATTAAGATAAAAAAAATCTAATTTGTTACTTATAATTTGGACAAGAGGTGTTATTTATGTGTGTGTGCTTGGTTATATACATATCCAAGAGAAATTTGATTAACATTTTAAATTTGGTCCAGGCTAAAGAGTTGGAGAATTTGAAGGATGCTGTAATGAAGCCTATTGAAAAGGATGGTGCAAAGACAAACTTTGATCCGGAAAAACACATAGATGCTTATATACCTGTCCGGGTTAATGAGCAAAGAATGAGTAACTTGTTACAGTCTCTCCTGATTGGTCTATCAATTTTTGCCGTTTATATCATCAAAATGATTCCTACTTCAGTTCTGTGGGGATATTTCGCATACATGGCAATTGATAGTCTCCCAGGGAATCAATTCTGGGAAAGGATATTGCTTCTTTTCATCCCACCAAGCAGACGCTACAAGTAAGTATCCCTACAAGTAAAATTTTAAGAGAAATTCTATGGTACCTTTGGAAATTTTGGGGGTTTTGGTACTGTTATTGAGAAACTTACTCTTCCTTAATGTACTCAAACCTATTCAACAATTGGCCTAGTGACAAATCCCTTAGATTTCTAAGGGTACCATAACAACTCTCTTTTAATCAATACATAATAATGGTTTAGAAATATATATATATATATATATATATATATATATATATAGCTTCATGGAAATACTTCTTTGTATATAGAGGAACTAATAATCTACCATTAGAGTACAAAATATAGTTTAACATTTTCACAAATGAGTAGGTCTTTCATTTTTTCAGTTGGTATCCAATTAGTGTCATTTTCTTGCTATAAGAGGCTAATTAAATGATCAATTTGTCATTGCTCTAATTCATTCCTTTGGGGCAGAATTTTGCAAGGTTCTCATGCTTCATTTGTGGAGTCAGTGCCATTCAAGACGATAGCTGCATTCACAATGTTCCAGTTTGTGTATTTCTTAATCTGCTATGGAGTGACATGGATACCTATAGGAGGAATACTTTTCCCATTACCTTTCTTCTTTCTCATTACTGTAAGAGAGTATTTTCTTCCAAAGCTATTCAAGCCTGATCATCTTCAAGAGCTAGATGCTGCTGAGTACGAGGAAATTGTTGGTGCTCCACATGTTATGGCACTAGGGGTACAATATTAATCATTCACTTCTTGTTAGGATAAGCAATCTAGTTTTATGTTGGTACATAATAGTTTTGAATCCAACTTTCTAATTTTTCTTCAAAATGTTTGATCAGGACAAAGATTCTGAAAGTGAAAAGAGCGTAGATGATTATTATGATGCAGAGATATTGGATGAGATGACAACTCACAGGGGAGAATTGAAGCTTAGAACTGTAAGCCGAAATAATAGTAGAAGCTTCAGTCACAGCTTCAGTGAAGACAGGCACCATTAGGTAAAGTGTATATATAAATAGGATTTAATGGTCATGCACTGTCAGTGTAACAAGTTTTACACTGTTGACCAATCAAAAATCATTATTAGTGTGACTTTTTAAGTAATTGTTGTAAAAGTCAACAAAATACCATACTTTAGGATTGGATGACAGTGTAAAATTGTTTTACAATAACAGTGCATAATTTTTTTTTTCTGATATATATAATCCTATAAAGGTTTCAATAAATATATAGCATTTTTTTAATGTTTGTCTTTGGATGATGAGGTGTATTAGCTAAATATGGCATGGACTTGGACAGGTTCCCCCTGAAGAAAAATTAGGCTCACCCGATTGGCCTTCTGTTTGCATGTAGAAGTGGATTTGATATATGAATATGATGTTGAATGGAATGCTCAAGATTGTGAAGTCATTTAAGGCTGAAGCCACTCTTGTGTGGAACAGGAAAGGACTCAATTGGGGAAGGAATCATTTGAACTTTGATTAATTGGCCTCAATATTACTAGGAAAGTACATTAACATGTTGAGTTCAAGGACCATTTTCCTTCTTTAGTTGTTGGCTACAAATTACCGAAAAAAGAGTCAAAAGGGGTGGAGGAGAGATTGATAACATGTGGTAAAGAAAAGGGGGAGAAGCAAGGATATGAGAAAAATGAAAATATTATACTTGTGTTCAAGTTGAAATATAGTTAAAATCCGTAGTGCTCTCTCTCTCTCTTTTTCTGTCTCACTCTTTAACAATTGTTCATTGGACACCAATAGGAGTTTGTAAAAACATTTTGTGAGCCAGTATTTAGATAAAATAGTAAAGTGGCCTGAGTTCTACGCTGCATTGTTTTGTTTGTAACATGGTACTACAACACACCTCAATGCCACCTCCTTCAATATGGGTGATATTGAGAAGAGTCCCAATTATTAATTAATTTACCACCGGCTTTTTCCATCTAATTTTATTTTATAAGTCACAAGAATAAATAAATATAATTATATATAATTATTGATGCTTATGTACTGATATAATGGTTGAAGTTTTTAATAATGATTAATTTTATCTCATTAATAGTTAATAATGTCATGAGATTATATCTCTCAAACGTGAACGTGATTAACTATATATATATATATATATATAATTAATTTGAGTCTTATAAGTGATTCAAGAATAGATAAACGAGATTGTATACAATGATTGATAACTATACTAAAAATAAATATTATGTTTGGTGTATACATTGTTTTTAAATCATTTTACCTTATCTTTCTTTTTTATTATTTTATTCTTATAATCACCTTTAAATCACATTTCTCTTATTATCTTTTTTTTAATCTTTATTAATTTTAAACTTTACTCTAAAAATCTCTCTCTCCTTAAATAATCACCTACTATATTATTGTTATCTTTTTATTTTAAAAATAGAGAAGCATAATACCTCTTTTCCTATAAAATAATAGTGACTTGAGGTTATGAAAATGTCTAGGATAATTAACTTTACTTTTCAAGTAGTTAATAGTATCACAAAGTTATTAAAATACTTATATATAACCACATTCATTTATTATTATTACTTATTGTTGACCATTTATAAAATAAAAGTAATAATATATATACACATAGTTAATCAATCATTTATACACTAATAAACATAAATTAGAAAAGGCCAAGCCATTAAACTAATAATCTAGTATTAAAAAATTAATGTATTTGAGGTATTTCAACAAACAATTAACGTGCATGAAATAAACAAAATAACACCTAAAAGAAATTGAAAATGAAGCAAACAACAACACAATCCAATAATCAATTTCATTTACCAGGGCACAATACCAAAGAAGAAAAAATTGGAAACGCATGTACCTAGGGGGAAGCAAGAAAGAAACAGGCACAAAACGAAGTAAGGATCATGTCGTGTGACCTAGGCTTGGCAAAGGAGATGCTTATCGGAGTTTGATGACAAAATAATATAAAATATAACAAAAGTCGAATCTTAAATTCTAACTAATAAGAGTAAAAAAACTTAACAAATTATATTTTAATATTACTTAGGTGAACAAAGCGAGTGCATGTGCAAATTAAAATCATATTTTTGGAGCATTATAAAAGCTTTCGATTAATTCTAGTTTAAATTGATGCAGGCCTAAGTTCATGCCTTCTTGTAAATATTTATTTTATTCTGGCTTTGTGTTTTGAATCATTAAAATAAAAATATATTTTCGTATATTTTTCTTTTAGGGACACATTTTTTATTTTTACACTAGTTTAAACAGCAATGGATGTAGAAAGTGTTATTTTACATTTGTTCTAGAAAGGGGATAGCGGCCGGAGAACCTTTAGTGAAATGAATTCTGAGAGAACCTAGCCGCCGTCTTGACCTAGAACATTCAAGAATGAGAAAAACCTTTACTTTCATCATCCCCTTTCTCCTTATTTATATGAGTCCCATATACATGGTACGAATCTTTGATTCTCATCCTCTTAAATGTGTGTGGATCCCTTTATGTAATGAGCTTATGAACCACATTTATAATCATAATCAAATTTACGCAAGAATCACGAAAATCACAACTTTGATTAATTTTACCGAAACTTGCTCATCAATATATCAGATGGAGACCACGAAAGTATGTGTTGTTCGGCCTGCTCGGCCAATTGGACACCAGGAGAGTGCACAACCCTCCTGGCTTATGCGTTAACAACGCATAGAGCCATTGATTGGTCAACTCGACAAATTAGAGATCCGGAAGGTACACAACCCTCTTAGCTCGAGCATTAGCGACGTGTAGAGCCATTGATCTGTTAACTCGATAAATTAGAAATCTGGTATAACATCAATTATAATTGATGTAGAAAATGATGGATTTTAGTATGAACCACTTGTATAGGTGGTTTGGCGTGGTCAATTTTTGAAAATTGTTAGATTGATCTCATCTATATATTATATCTCTTGATTTTAATTGTATTTATATTAATATTTTATTTACTTGTACCTACAGACGTGACAAGATTACATAGATATATTTCATCTTTCTATTTTATCTTCATACATGTGCTAATGACACTATTTTTTTTTTCTTCACAAAGTTTAAATAAATTCAGATTATAAACAATACGCAAAAGAAAAAAAAATCATGATTATATAAAGAGAAAAATTATCCTTTTAATTTCAACTTAAATAAACTTGATCTCAATATCAAGGAATTGGGTGCTACATTTTTTTAATTTTAAAACAGTTGAAGAAAGATAATTCAAAACTTAGTAGATTTTAAAGAGAAACTAGTTGATAAGTAGTGTAAAATTAATTTAGAAAATCATAAAGTGAAGAGGAAATCAAACATGCCCTAAATATTCTCTACATTTTTTTTCTTTCTTTTAACACCTGTATATTCAATGTTCTGTGTTAATTCAAATAATTTTTCTATAAATCATTCTCTAATATAATTATTTTTATATAAAATTTAAATAGAATCCACTAATAATGTAAGGAAAGTCTTTTGGGTATTTTATTTTCATCTAGTCATAACTTATAATAGATAAATGTTTTTAGTATATAATTATATTATAATAATGAATTTTAATGAATAAATATTGCAATTCAATTTACAGGTGAAAATAAAAAGAGTAAATTAAATAAGTTCGAGTATATAAATTAAAAAAAAAGGTGAACAAATGACTTTTTTTAATATACTAATTTTATTTATTTATTTAAATAACCTGAGTCCATTATTATTTACATTAATAACCCATTTTTGAAGCTCAGGTAAGAAATCGGCTACTGGATAAATGATTTCTCAAAGGATTTTTTTAAAAAATCCTTTGAAAAATCAGTTACCTAGTAACTGATTTCTTTATTGGGCTTTATTTATTTATTTATTTATTTCATCTTTTGGTTTTTTTTCTTCTTCAGATTTTTGGGCCTCTTTTCTTGTTTTTTGTTTTTTTTTCCAGATTTTTGAATTTATTTTTTTTGTTTTTCAATACTCAGTAACTGATTTCTCACCTAAGTCTCAAAAACGGATTATTTACATAAATAATAATAAACCCAGGTTATTTAAATAAATAAAAAAAATTAGTATATTAAAAAAAAAGTATGAACAAATTGATATGATTGAAAGGTATCTTTTTGACTAGTTGTGGAACAATATAAAAAGTATATATCTAATGAGATGAGAGAAAAAGTATTAGGAATGTCTAATTGATAACAACTTTAAATTATATAATTTAATTTATAATATAGAACTAATTCTCGCAAAATGATAATAACTCAATATTTGTCAACTATATAATTAAAAAAAATCATTTTTTTTTTTATTTTTAAGATAATTTTTTGAATTCATTTGTTAACCCTCTTAAGTGCGGTTACGAACTAACTTGATACAACTTTTTTATTTATTGACCCACGCATACAAGAATACTTATAGGCGTAGCTATTTATATATACCAAGAAACATTTTGTATTTTTATCTGGCAAAAATTTGGCATTTCTTTTAAAGAGACACAATGGTAGGACTATGATACAATTACGCTAAGTATTCTAATAGAAATCGATTCATACTTTTATTATCTTCAATGTCCTATACAAAAATAAGAAAATCACCATCTCTGATGACATTTATGTCTTCAACTTCAGCTCCTTCTTTAGTCAATATTTTGGTGGGATAGAAATCAAACTTTTTAGCACCAATATGTAGCAATTCTTCAATAGAATTTGGCAAAAACACAAGTTTTTTAGCACATTCACCTTTCTCTGGACAACTAAGTGTTACTCTGGCTCGTAATTCTTCTCTAGTGTGACTGTTGTGAGTTGCAGTTGTGAAATCTTTTTTATCTGAAAGTTAATAATTGATAGTTTTAATGTCTTAAATTAATAAGGATGATAAAAAAACTTGCACCCACATGTTAAACTCATTATGAATTAAAAGTAAATAGCTAAATGGATAATTGCTTATTAATGAGAGTACTAGTAAAGTATTAATACTTGTGAGTTCCAATACTTTGAAATTATTTAAAAATTATTATTATATATAAAATAAATTGGTCTAAATTATTTTTTAGTATTTATATTTAAAAATTATTGTTTTAGTACTAATACATGTTATTTTTTTTAATATAAATACGTATTTTAAAATTATTTATTGTTATATATATTTTCTTACCATTTTATTTATAAATATATACTTTTAAAAATATCCATGGATCTTTGTGAATATCCATAATTATATATATAATTTATAGATACTCATTAAACGGATACTCATTCTAAATGAGATGGGTGATGAAGAGGCATACATGTATCCCGTTACACCCAATTTTCATCTTTAGTCCTAACATTCAACAAATAAAATGAACTTAATAAATTATCACACATAATTCTATTATTTAAGTTTAATTGGAATACATTTCTTATACAGAATATGAAGTGTTTGGTCAATATGAAAATTAATTGTTTTTATCAATGATGTGAAAGTAATTTTTTCCCTCACAAATTAACTTTTGTCTCATTAATTGTATATTCATTTCTCTTCTAGTTGGTTGAAATGTTATTTGTTCCCAATAACATTGCTCATAATATATATATATATATATATATAT